CTGTTGCTCTTGTCTGTATTGCAGTCTGTCTATGACATCGTCACTGTTATTAGATCTTTGGATTCTTCTCGTTAGATTGTCCTGTATTGCTCTTCCGAGAAGTAGCTCAGCTGGTGATTGTAGCTTGCTGTCAATAGGGGTACTTCTCAAACACATAAGTGCAATGTGAGGATCCGTACTTGTTTCTTTAGCCTTTTTCAGGGTTTTCTTGGTTGTCTTGACCTGAGATTCCATGAACCCATTGCTTGACGGAAAGTGTGGGGAACTCGTCACGTGTTTGAAGCCATACTGTTGTGCGAACTTGGTGAAGCTTTGGCTGTCATATTGAGGGCCGTTGTCAGATCTACTTGTGGAACACCGTGTTCACTGAAGATTTGCTTCAATAGACCAATTACTGTTTCACTGGTACTCTTGCCTTGCGGAATCTTTCTGACAAAAGGGAATTTGGAGTAATAATCTGCGACGAGTTGGTACTCGGATCCATCGAGGTAAAACAGGTCGGTTCCCACAGTGTGCCAAGGTCGCGGAGGGACTTCTGTTGGCACTAGTGTCTCTTTTGTCTGCTTATCCTGTAACTCTTGACAAATGTTGCATGTTTTGGTCATATTGTCAATTTCCTTGTTCAGATCTTTCCAGTAGACGGCAGTTCTAGCACGTAATTTTGTCTTTTCTGTACCTTGATGTGAAGCATGTAGTTTGGAGAGAACTTCATCCTGTAAGGCTTTCGGGATAATGATTCTGTGTCGTTTCATTACCAATCCGTCTTCTATCGTTATTTCATCTCTGAATTGTCAGTATGGTTTGATGAGGTTGGGAACACTCTTTTAAGACATTAAAATGTCTGATGGCCATCCGGTGTATGTCTATTCTTTCAGGACTGTAAGTTCCGGATCGTCTCTTGTGGTCTGTTGGATTCTCTGAATCATGTTGCTGCTGAATTGGGGAAATATTTGRTGTATCTRGACATCCATGCCTCTGATTTCGTCAGTTTCCTCAGGTGATAATCTTGACAATGCATCTGCAATCTCCATTGTCTTCCCAGGCTGATACTTTATCACGAGATCATATGGCTGTAATCTGAGGAGCATCCGTTGAAGTCTTGCTGGGGCCGCTGTCAGGTGCTTAAGGTGTATACTTTCTAGAGGCTTGTGGTCTGAATGAACCGTAAAGCTGCGACCAAACAGGTAGGTATGGRACCGTTCACAACCATAGACGACGGCGAGCATCTCTCTTTGAATGTTGGCATAGCGTTTCTCTGTATCAGTCAAGGCTTTGCTTGCGAAAGCAACAGGTTTCTTGTCTTGTAGCAAGGCTGCGCCAAGCCTTTAAGCGAGGCGTCCACTTGGAGGACTGTTGGTTTCTTTGGGTCGAAGTAAGTCAGAGTTACTTCTTTACTTATGGACTCTTTGATTTTGTCGAGAGCTTCTTGGTACGTAGCATTCCAGCAGAATGGTGTTTTGTCAGTGACTAACTCTCGCAGTGGTGCTGTTAAGGTGCTCAAGTTTGGCATAAAAGGACCCATGTAATTGGCTAAGCCTAGGAAAGTTTGTACTTCCTGCTT